GGTCACGCTGCTCTAGCAGTGGTTTTGTTTACATGACATTTCAAAACTGGTATGGTAAGACATGACTGCAGGGTGAACATAAGTGGCAGGCCCTAACGTGAAAATCATGACATGCATGCATGTCATGTAAATCACGATTACTCACCAGACACTCATGATGCGCTCGCGATCGTTCTGCTTGCTTCACATAAACCAAATTCGGTAGTACAAGACACGAACAGATGACGAAGGTGATTGACCGTCCAAACATGCTAATCATGCCATGCGTGTCATGTAAAACATGACATGCTACGCTCATAGCGCGCCCACGGTCGTTTCGCAATTTTCACATATACCAAGCTTGGTATTATGTGACGTGAATAGATGACAAAGGTATATGACTGGTGCAAACATGAGAATAATTCATGACATGCATGTCATGTAAGAAGATGGCTACATGCCGCGCTCATGGTGCGCTCGCGGCCGTTTCACTAGCTTCATATGTACCAAATTTGGCAGTACGTGACGCGAATGGACGATGAGGGAAATGACACGTCCTATCATGATAATCATGATATGCGTGTCATGTGAAACATGACTGCTTGCTAAGCTTATAGTGCACCCACAGTCGTTTTGCAAGCCTAACAAATACCAAATTTGTTGTTAGGGGACGTGAATAGAGAGGAAGGTACATGTTACTGGTGCAAACATGATAATCATGACACTAGTGTTATGTAAGAACTTGACTATATACCACGCTCATGATGCACTGGCAGCCACTTTGCTTGCTTCATACATACCAAATTTGCTATTACGGGACATTAATAGACGACGAACCCAAATGCAGGGCGCAAGCATGATAATCATGACACTGAAGTCACGTACGGCATAATTTACATACCTATCACTGCTGGGACTGGTATTGCAAACGTTAGTGGTGCCGAAATACCTAATCTTATCCAGACACCCTAGTGCGCATAACATCTCCACTTGTGTTTACTATGCACTACATTCATGTCCCTCGTAACGTTGTGGTCTCAAATGACATATCAACCTCTCTTATTCATGCTTCGGATATCATCGATTCCCACTGTACGTGGGATTTGCCAATTATTTATTCTTCAATGAGTGAGCCTCGACCACCCAGTAATTAAACAACTGTATAACGAAGAACGGCGGCAAAATGAACAAAAATACGTGCATGGGCACCATGAAAGTCATGTGCAGCTGTCTTGTCTTAGGCTGTTCCGGGAACGGAACGCCGGGAACCGGTGCTTATTGAGTCGGCAGTGGATGCTTGCGCGTTTTCGCAAGCCTTCAGAAGCCTGCTGCTTGAGAACGTAAGGGGCACCATCATGGCTTCACCATAGACAAGATTGTGGGTGCATGGAACCGCGCATACAAGGTAATGCAACGAATGTTCTCAATTGATCACCAGACGGGCGTGACTCAACGCCTTTGATGTTAAGGATATAACTGCCGCTTTTTCGACGGCATGAGTGACATTTCTCTCCTCTCTCTCTCTCTAACTTTTATTCCCCTTACCCCCTCCCCAGTGCAAGGTGGGGAGGGGGTAACCTCCCTGCCTTTGTTTCATTCTCATTCTCTGCCTCTTTCTCTTGCGCAGTTAGGTTCAAAAATGTGCAGCTGCACGTGTTGCTGGGCCAGTTGGTGTTTGCTCTAAATGGCACATTCTAGCGCTAAAGCCCACCCACAAAATAACCATGGAGAATACGGAACAGACGTTATAACTCGCAACTTCGTGCTGAGAATCGAGAGGTGTTGCATATAGTATGTACAGGCTGTTTTGTACTTAAGGGGAAATCTCTAAGCCCCTGGCGTCGCGATGCGGCTAGCGCTGAAATCACGCGCCGCGACAGCAGCTCACGCATGCGCAGACGCTTCAAAAGTGTAGAGTTGAACCACGTCGTCTGCTACGGCAGGGTCCATGCCACATTGTCGGCAAGCACACGGATACGGTTGCTAATGCGAGAACTGGGCAGATACTCTGCACTAATCATTTAAGAAAATCTGCACCGCAAGATGGGACGAAAAAAGAAGGAACGACAAACTCGCGCACGCTTTCTTCGTGTCCCGTTGGGCTGCGCACTTTTTTCAGATGTTCTCCTACAAACTTGAGCGACTTTCAACGCTTGTCTGCACTAAACGTTGTGCAATATCAACCTCTCAGCCTTCCGTCGTGATAATGGTGCGCCTGAAACAGTATTTGATAGCATATACTTTGTTTGCGCTATCGGAACATTGTGGCGCTGTGTGCGTTGACGAACGTTTCTTCATTGTGGGCGCACCGCAGTAAGCTTGGATTAGGAAGACACGATAATAAGCATGCACCACGCGTGGTCTCTATTTGACTTTAAATAAAACAGAGTACTCAGTGGTGACTGCTGTGCGGCTAAACGGGTTTAACACTACAAAACAAATGGACATGAATTCAGGAATGACTTAGGATAGAAGAATCACCTGAACGCGCTTATTCTCGACGATATTTGATCACAACAGAAAGGACTTGCTCCCGGCATCGAAATGCACTCGTGACGCTTCCAAGTATGTCCCTAGCGGTAGCCATGATGGCACTCATTCTAGACGGCAGTGAAAGCGTGGCGTTAGCGATGTGTTCCCCTGCAGCATGTCCCTTTAGTTGGCGATGGGGACGTGGCATCACGAAATCCAGATTGAGCTGAATAAAGCAGGGGCTCATATGCCATACGTTTTTCTCTTTTTTTTTTGTCTGAGAAGAGCAGTACTGAGCTGTTTGCCAGGTTTAAAGTGTCCCGTATCCCTGACCAAGAGCAACTTAACATTAGGAACTATGCTGTAAAAACTACGCTGCATTTTAGAGCCGGCTAACGAGTCTTGCGGTAATTAAATGTCATCAAGCGACCCGTTCAGGATTTGTTATCACCTAAAGAATTTCTGAATTTGTTCCTTTTTTTTATCGTGCTAAGCCAGCGCAGCAGTATACGACTCTTACTGTTAAGTGCTTTTTTTACTCAGTCAAATCAAGACAACATACACTGCGTGCTAATTGTCACGTTTTTCTTGTCCAAGTGTACTGCTGCGCACAAAGTGAAGAAATATTCATGAACACACACAGCACCACGGTGTTTCGAGGAAGGAAACAAGGTATTCTGTCAAGATTTGCTTGAAGCACCCCATTATCTCAAATAAAAGCTTAGAGATTGGCGTCACACAATGTTTAGTGCAAATTAACGACCCAGTTTCTGCACAAAAAAATGGCATTCGCGCGCTTACCAATCATTCGGCAAGCAAGAGCCGCCGTAGCAGACGACGCCGTTTAAAAACACTCCAGCATTGCCTGCGCACGTGCGGGCTGCTGACGGTGCGTGGTTGCATCGCTGGCCGCATCACGATGCCACGCGCTTCGAGATTTTCCCTAAGTGTAAAACAGCCTGTACAGCCTCCAGCATATTGAATGATATCGCGCGATCGTCGACCGCACGCAGTATCAGCGCCTTACAACGGCGATAATCTGCGAGAGTGTCAGCAGTACGCGCAGGCGCACGAGCAGCGCTAGCGCAAGCGTCGTCTGCCAGGTTTTTCCTTTCAGGTTAAAGCACTCCCTTTCTTCGTCAAAGGCGCCAGGAGTGCGCAATATTGCTGATAGTAATGTCTTGAACGTCTTCCTTTTTTTTATTATTTCAACACTTCTCCGTATGCTCTCGAGGAGGCATAATCAAAAATTGAAAATGCGGCGACAGCTGTGGTCTTCTTATATAGCGCTTCAAATTACTTTTTATTACATTTCTGTTCGAATTTCTCGGCACATCAACTTTGAGCAGCTTCTTTGACTGTAATCAAAGGAAAGATCAAGAGAACATGAATCTGTAGATCACGGTTTACGTTCTGCGCATGGTTTTGTTCACACCGCTTTTGCTTGCCTTTTTATTTAAGGAGATGATAGTCATTGTGGTAGGGTGTACATCGTCCTGAAAGGAACAGCGCGGCAGACTACGCTTGTGCTAGCGCTGCTTCGTGAGCTTGCGTGTACTGTGGCCCGTCTCGCAGATTATCGCCGTTGTAAGGCGCTGGTACTGCGAGCCGACGATGGTTGCACGATAATATTAAAAATGTTGGAGGCTGTACGTACTATGTCCAATGCGCTTACACATCGACATCACACGGGCTACAAGGGGGGTGTACCAAAATGAAGACAAAGAAGCGAGGTTCCACGTTAGACGCTCAAACAGACGCTACACTTAATACAATCAAAATTTTCGTCTTATGCGGCATGGCTTGATAAAAGATGGCACCGTTTTATATTTTTTTTCAAGGATACTAACATGAAATCTCGGATCACAAGAGCCCGTTTTGCAATGTGCGGAAAAGTGCACGATGAAATGTTTTTTAATGTCCGCGTGTTCCATTATGTGACAATTCGCGCATCTGCCTCTTTGGGCTACCCAGGACTTTGAGAGGTTTGAGGTATCTCATACCATTCACCTGTCATACACCAAGTGTTAGTGCAGGCTGAGTTGGTGCGCTTCACTTGGAACCCACTCTCCCGGATGCGCATGATGCGGGGTCTCAGTTGGATAAGCTTCTGGGGTGCGAAGATTACACAGACACTCCTTATTTACCTGCTAGCCACTTTTTTCACATTTTTACTCGTCTTGTGTATTATACATAAAGCCATAAAGCACAACGATCAGCCTTTTGCCGCTCCACCCACCAGCTGTTGCCTCGTTTTCCAGGGTCCCTACTGTAAGCTTGCGTTGCAGGAAAAATGCCACAGACAAACTGGCTGAATGAGGGTGTCCGGCTTTTGAAGCTGAGCCAATTAGTATTCGGAACTTATCCGGCGTCTTGTGTTCACAAAACTTCCGCTCGCAAAGCGCTAAGGTTCTGTTCTATTTGACTTCCTAATTGCACTCGGGCAGCAAGCAAACTACGCTTCTTGGACAAGAGAAACCGGCTTGTCCATTCAATCGATAAATATTTACGATAGCTAAGCACTAGGCAGAGAAAGAAGTTTCACTTACCTTAGCTCTTCTCGATACGCAAAAATCAGAATTGGGGATAGTTGCATTGTCATGGCCACGTGAGAACAGTTAGCAACAGCTCTTTTTCTTGTGCTAATAACCATTCTTGAAGTAAATTGGTCATTTTACAAATTCGCCGGAACGAGGAACTCGAGGCCACTGTGGGCGTGTGAGGGAGTGGCAGCCCTGTCAAAATGCGTTCAGCAGTCAATGCACCTCGTTACACCAAATGGCCACGTGACGTGCCGAACATCTGCGGTACCCCAACGTGGCTACAGATTGCGCTGTTATAGATGCTTTCAGTTATCTTTAGCGTCGCCGACGTCAGCGTCCGGTGCTGAAAGTTAAAAGCCACTACAACTGATACAAAAAGACGTCTTCATTCGTACTAGCGTGTGTGTTGTCAAATTTTGTTTTGGGAACGTTGGGGCTTCAATTTCAATTATAGCTAGATTGTAAACATACCTAGGTGTAAATCATGCGCACACTCCCCCCCCCCCCCCCCTGACGGCTCTCGGCATTTTCACTTTCGGGGGGCATCGGCCAAGCAAACCGTACGCCTTGAAGCTATGAAAATACCAGCTCAAGGTAAACTGTTTCATATCCTACTGCTTGATTTGATTGATATGTGGGGTTTAACGTCCCAAAACCACCATATAATTATGAGAGACGCCGTAGTGGAGAGCTTCAGTAATTTTGAACACCTGGGGTTGTTTAACGTGCACCCAAATTTGAGCACACGGGCCTACAACATTTCCGCCTACACCGGAAATGCCGCCACCGCAGCCGGGATTTGATCCCGCGACCTGCGGGACAGCAGCCGAGTGAGTACTTTAGCCACTAGAACACCGCGGCGGGGCCACATCCTACTGCTACCTCCGTCAAACTTTAAGTGAAACGTGCAGAACACTCAGCACTACCGATGCACAACACTAATGAGCAGTAAACTTGCTAAACTATCTGAGCTGAGTAAACTTTAGCCATCTCTCATGAAACCGGCAACAAACTGAAGGGAATGAAATAAAAGACACTTTAGTTTATTTCGCGTTACAAAAGTTATTTTAATAATTTAAAAGATTTACTACAAACAGAGTTTACACATTCTAGCTTATGAAGTTTGTTGTTTATAAGAGACATATTCAGCAAGTGAGGGTCATTTGATAAAAAACAAATGGCAGTGACTTAGCTCAGCTATGCCAGGATATACGCAGCGTTAGCAAAAGTTCAGCTGCTTATTCTTAGCTTTCCAGAGTGTCTAGGATTAGCTTGATTATAATGCTTACTGCTGCTGCAATGACACACGTATATTTATTTTGCCGGGCAACTACTTCGGGATCTGATGAGTTAAGCTTCTCCGTTCTACTGCACCGTTGAGCAGCATTTGCACTCTCCTCCATGGCTATACCACAGTGGCAAACGCCAGTCAGAGTCAGCAAGTGAGGGTCATTTGATAATGTTTAAATATTGAAGGAGCAGAACAAAGTTCAGCTTATGCAGGCACATATGCATGTATAGTACAGTTCACTGAGGGGGAACATGCGAACGCGTGAGCGTGGCCCGCGTGGCGCGAACTGGTGGCGAGATTTGTAAACGTGGCGCACGCGCTTAAAAGCGCGAAGGCGGCCCTTGTCGGATATCTTCTACTACTTTCCGCCCCTGCGCTTGCCGAGAGCTTTCGTTTTTCCGCGGAGCGATTCATGCCGCCGCTGGTCTGCCGGCGCCCCGTCAGGTAGTCAGCATGCACACAAAAGGTCCAGCTCGCTTCTTGTGTGGTATCTCGCCAGTTTTGAAACGATGTGATTCACAACCACGGCGATGAAATTTTGATTAAAGGCGATATATAATGAAAAGCCACTTGAATATATTTAGAAGCATGTTAATAAACGCTTAATAATAATAAATGTTGTAATTTAACATCGCAGAACAGCGGTACGATTATGAGCGACGCAGCAGAAGGCTCCAGAAATTTCAACCACCTGGTGTTGCAATCAAAGTATATGGTCCTCGAATATTCCCACCTTCATCGATAATGCGGCTGCCACAATTGGGATTTCATCCCGTGGCCTCAGGCCAGCTGTCGAGTGCCATAACCCCTACACCATCGGGGCGAGTTAAAAAAGCTCTTTAAGATGAAATCTCTTCGAAGGATTAATACGGCGTGATCCCAATGTTCGGGCTCTGGCTTGCTACATCCCGGCATATATTAGTATTAACGTTCTAAATCGTGTGAGTTTTTGATTAAAAAAGCAACATATGAAGAAGCTCTATATTTGGAATTGCGATAACATGCACGTTTTTGAAATATACGGTGCTTCCCCAATATGTGCGCGCATGAGAAATGAAGTGCGTAAAACAGTAAACAAAAAACTTATTTGTCATATTTTTTTTATAAAAGATGGAGCAGGCTTGATCTACGGCCTCTTAAGGTTAGTACAATGAAAATCTTTGTTCAGTATCGGGTGATGTCACCTCTAGCGTTGAGTGTATACGGCCTTCATCTTTGCTGGTGGAGACATGTACAGAGTTACTGTGAAGGATGAATCGCACTTAAGCCGCTCCCACTCTTCAGTTACGGAAGCCCAGAAGTCATCTATATATTTGACGCGGAGAGTTTGGTGAGAGAGAGATGATTTCATTTCACACAATTTCAATTAAGTTCAAGTCATCAAGTCAGGTTACGGGGGGGGGGGGGGGGCACATAATCACCGGCACGGTCTTCAGTGGTCTGTTAACCCCGGCAGTGACAGCATGCACGCTGACTGTAATCTTTAGTAAATAGCTCGACTATGAGAAGCCTTTCATCGTCATGTGCCCTGCCCATGCCACATATAAGAGCTGACACCACCGAAAATTCGTTCAGCGAACAAATACGCCCGCAGCTGTGCAATTCTGTGAAAGAGATAACGAAGACCATCACTTGTGTGTTAATGCTCACAGAAATGTTAGTCGTAAGCTTAAATTTTCTGAACGCTCGAACCAGCCGGCTGCCTTTGATAACAGACGAAGAAATTGGTGCTTCATGCAACGAACACAGGCGGCTTCCTCCAACCAATAAAACATAGCACGGCGTTAGCGCGCGCCGAGTGCTATAGGGTGGGGAAGTAGCAGACGACGCAGGGCACGAACCACTCTCGCGATTCTGCAGGTTCCTTCTACAGGTTCCCCTTCGGTATAACCTCTCTGTATTTTTCTTAACCTTGCTCCCTCTACTTCTACAGGGGCTAAGGTTATTTTTTGTTATTGTACATATAGCTTGTCTATTTGTACAGACGGCTAACGTGCATAGAATTCATCACTCCAGCTACTTCACGATTGCGCGCTGATTCGATTTTTGTGTATGAACAGTGATGAACTGCAGAAATTTACCGAGAGTTGTCTAGTTTATGGACTTGATGCAATGAGTGAACGAATACTATAATGTCCACCATGGTGCAGCAGTGGTTATGGTACTAGGCCGCTGACCCGAAGGTCGCTAGTTTGATCCCCGCCACGGTGGTCGAACTTCGATGGATGCAACTAGGTTGAGGACCACGTACTGTGCAATGTCAGTGCACGTTAAAGAACACCAGGTCGTTGAAGATGCGGAGTTCTTTACTACGGCCTCTTTCATAATCATGTGGTTGTTCTGGGAAGTACAACCCCAGATACGAATATTATGACGACTGTTATTCAATGACGCCAAGACTTAAAAAAATAGCAGCACAAGTGCGCATCATTAAGGGCAGGGTGACTAAGGCACACCATATGTGGACTGATAAAATCATTTGATAAGGTAACCAAGAACTGCGATTCAATCATCATCTGTCTATAAAGGTTCTGACTAATATTTGAAATGCGAAGCATTTTGTTGTGTGTGCTGCCGGAACTTTTCGCGTTTATTTAGTTTTGTATCTATCAAGCCGCCTACGTCCTGGTGCTCTCGTGATCATCCCCCTAACTTGGTGTTAAACAAAATTAGTACGAGAAGGTGAGGTTGACGAATATAACTAGCTGTCCATGACACGAATAATGTGACGATCTCGTCGCGCACGTCGTCAAACCCTTTCCGCCAGACAAGTGGCACATATCTGCGGGCGAGTATGTGCCACAAAGAATTCACTACCCGGGAATGGTGAGAACACGCACGGAGTAATTTTGACGTGAAAGCGTTAATAAAAAGCTGACGTCAGCATTGCTGACCCACTGAATGCAAAGAATAAATGTCAGGGTTCCAGCAGGAATCAAACCCCGGTATTCTGTGTGGCAATCAAGTATTCACAGAGCCACTCCAGGTCTCGGAACTATAGATTTAAAATAGACCCTAATGTTCATGAAACACAAAGGTCGTGGTGTCAATCCTGGCCGCAGTGGCCGGATTTCTATGGAAGCGAAATGGTAGAGGCCGTGTACTGTGCGATGTCACGGCACGTTAAGGAACTCCAGATTTGTGAAAATTTCCGGGGGTTTTCACTATGGCGTCTCTCAGAATGATATGGTGGTCTTGTGACGTTACGTCAAGACATTATGAATATTGTTCGTGAAACATCAATTGCAGTTGCAGTTGCTAATTCTATAATCATTACTTATGTACTCCTTCGATACAGCCGTCACGTCGGGTTAGCGTGATTTGTAGTTACGTGTCATGCGCTGATGTTTATTTCTGTAGCAGTGTCCAGGGCTACTTTCTTTGCGAGCACAAGCGCTGCATATTAGCTTACCACGTCTGGTGTTGCTAATACCCATGTTGCTGTTAGCATCGCTGCGCAAATGTAAACAAGTGGTTATGTGAAACATATGCGACGGTTCAACCCATGTCTGCACGTACAACATTTGTACGCATTTTTGTCGTGATTTCGTAACATTTGCCTCAATAGAAAAATTGCAGTACAGCCAACTTTTATTTGCGTGCTTCTCATAACATCAATTCCCATGGTACGTGAAATCTATAAAATTTTGTCGTTGTTTTTGTGCTATACTGTTCACTCAATAGTATAACATAAAACACCAATCATTGCAAATGTTGTACAAAGTGCGTACCAAAAATGCTTACCAACCTAGAGAGGCACTCTTGAAGTGGTATTGACAAAACAAGCTTTTTTCCATATTGCTGCAGACCAAGACATGTCTATATATATTGCACAAGCGAAGAAACAAAAAGAAACAATCAATAAAATGGTGCCTTTATTCGTCTCAGAATCGTAAGAATAAAGATCCTCGTTGTTGTCTGATTCAAT